GGGCGGGAGGGCCCGCGGGAGCCGGGCGCTGGCCCGGGGCGGCGGGGAGAGGCCGGCGCCCCTCGTTCACTCCTACTCTTACGGCTGCAGATCAAGTGCAGAAGGACCGGCCCCCGCAGGCCGCGGCACCCGCGCAGGCCGGCCGCATGGCGGCGCTCCTGGGCTTCGAGTGGACGGACCTGTCCAGCTGGCAGAGGCTGGTGACCCTGCTCAATCGACCGACGGATCCGGCCAGCCTAGCGGTCTTCCGGGTTCTCTTTGGTGAGGCCACGCTGCGGGTGCGAAGCGGGAAGGACAGCGCTGCCTCCCTGGGTTGCTCGCACACCTAGCTGAGGACGGTGGCGAGTGGGAGGTCTCTGTGACGTTAGGGTCTAACCTGCCTGGCTTTGCCCCCTCTATTGGTGGCCAGAGGAGCTTTCATCTGTGGCTAGATGAAATAGAGGCAGAGGAGCAGGGACCCATTTTGTTTGTGGCATTAAGTTGCCCAAAAACTAACTTGAGAGTAACAGAAAGCAAGAGTGACAACAAGAAAGGAACATTTTTGTCTGACCCAGGACTTGGAATGAGTAACAGCACATGTCCTTGGAATTGGCTACACAGGTGCCAAGGTTCCCAAGTCTGGTAGTTTTCAACTGGGGAAAGTTTTGCTCCCCAGGAAGATTTGGCAATGTCTGAGATTTGTCACAACCTGGAGCCAGAGCAATAGGTAGCATGTATCTCTGCAGGCACCAGGGCTGCTCCTGGATGTTCTGTAATGCACAGGGCAGCCATCCCAACAGATACCCAGACCAAAATAGGACTGGCCTTAAGGGTTAGAAACTCTGCCTTAATCCAAATGACTTCCTAATCTGATCAGTCTTTTCTGTTTACCTGTTTGTTTGCTAAGTACCCCTGCAAAGGACCCCCAGAGAACTTTCTGTAGCTCTGTAGGATAGATCCTTATAACTGTTGGAACCTATTGGTTTTGATAGCATTCTGTACATTTCTCTCATTCAATCATCTCTAACACTATGAAGTATTATGAGCCCTCTTTCACAAATGGGGCATTGACTTTCTGAGCTGCGGGGCTATCTGAGGTCACACAGCTGGCATGTCACCCAACACAGACAAGGCTCAGTGATCGTTGTTGAGTGAATGGGAGAACCAAGGTAAGAAGAAGCTGGGGCTGGGTACACTTAGCTATCCTCCTGTATTCCACTGCTGCCCTAGCTGAAGCTTCACAGTCCCCTCTCCTGCTGCCTCTACAGCGTTCTTGATGGTGCTGGACATTCCCCAGGAGCGGGGGCTCAGCTCACTGGATCGCAAATACCTGGATGGACTGGACGTTTGCCGCTTCCCCTTGCTGGATACCTTGCGCCCACTGCCACTTGACTGGATGTATCTTGTCTACACCATCATGTTTCTGGGTGAGGGGAACTTGGGAGAGATGGGAGTATTGACTGACCTGCTGGTGAATGTCCAAGTCTTGGGTGCCTGTTTCACTTCTGCATGATTAGTTTTCATGCTACACATCTGTAGGTCTTCTCAGCTGTGAACCCATACCTTCTGTTTTCAAAATATTGAAATAGTGTGTAATTTTCATTTAGTTTTGCCTGATCACAAGATGTCTGATGACTTTGTTTAATCCCAGTCATGGCTGGGCCTGTGGTGACCCTGGGGCCTTACCTCTGCTCCTTGTGCATCCCAGGGGCGCTGGGCATGATGCTCGGGCTGTGCTACCGGCTGAGTTGTGTGCTGTTCTTGTTGCCATATTGGTATGTGTTTCTCTTGGACAAGACGTCGTGGAACAACCATTCTTACCTGTATGGTTTGGTGGCCTTCCAGCTGACGTTCATGGATGCTCACCACTACTGGTATGAGTTGGGAATATAGGGGCAGGGTCAGTGGATCAGGATGCTTACCAGAGATGAGGACTCATCAAAGTCCTAGAAATTGCCCCAACAGGCATATTTTTTAACCATGTTTTGCAAAGCATGGTTGCAAGGTTACACTTTGGGGTGAATTTGGGAGGGGCAATGCCAGCCATTTGGGGCAGTGGGGTTGACAAAAGGCCAAATGCCTCCATCCCATCCTCACTTTTTCCATATCTCCCCAGGTGCCTTGACCTTTCTACTTCCTGTAACCCTCTTAGAAGAAGAGAAGACCAAAACCAGACCTAGCTGTTTTCAGATACTTCAAGGGTGCTCATGTGAAACAGAGAGCAGACTTTCTCTGTGTGAGCCCAGAGGGGAGAGTTAGAACCAAAAATAGACGTTGCTGTGAGGCGGAGATCATGTCAGGAGGAGAGGGTCCACTAGGGCTGCTATCCTGGGAGAAAGTAGCCCTTCCCATCTCTGGCTTAGGTGACCATCTCTTGGGGAGGTGGGGGAAAGGATTTGGAGTCAGGGTGGCAGGGTGGATGCCTTAGAGAGTCTTCCCTTTGCTAAGTGAAAAGCAAACGTGAAATGTCAGTAAGATGGGTATATGAACAAAATCGCAAACACTGAACTCATGAACAGCCATGAAGTTACATCCATTGATGGACATATGCAAATTCTTCTTTTGTAAAAAAAAAAACTTTATCCAGTCCTGGGATTGAACCCAGGGTCTTGTACATGCTAAGCACTTGATCTACCACTGAGCTGCATCTCCAGGATCCTTTTGTAAAACTTTAAACTCATTCAGAATGTCTATCTCTGATCACAGAGAATGAAGACACAGTTTTGGCAGAATATCCCTGAGAAATGCCATTTTTACGACTTTTATACGTTTTGAAAAAATTGCTATCATTTACTGAGGGCTTTCTGCATGGCAGGCACATTTAAAATTTTTCCTCATTAACTTTTCAAACACTCCTCAGATTCTTCCCTTTTCAGTCATTTTCTAGCCTAGCATTTTTCCCCAATTTGATCCATTAGTACAGACTCAATTATGAGCTGGTAGTAAGCAATAAACTTTTTATTGTTTTATGTATTTGTATTTTACTTTGTGGCAGTACAAAAGCATCCCCATAAAGCCATTCTGGTTTTCACTTTTTTTTTCCTCCATACTGGGGCTGGAACACAGGGCCTCATGCACGCTGAGCAAGTTCCGTACCACAGAGCTTTGTCCCCGGCCCTGTTTTTTACTTTTGGTACACTATTAATGAACTACATGACATGAGATAAAATACTTGATTATGAAGTATGCTTGGGCTAGATGGTTTCGCCTGACTGTATGCTAATGGAAATGTTTGGAGCACATTTATGGCAAGCTAGGCTACTCTAGACTGTTCAGTAAGTTTGTGTGTGTGTAAAATCCATTTTCAACTTAATAATATTTTCAAGTTATGGTAAGTTTACTGGGATGTACCTTTATTATAAATAAAAAATCTATAATTCTTTTTTTGTTTAGCAATACTGAGGACTGAACCAAGATCTCATGTGCTAAGCAAGTGCTCTACCAGTGTGCTACATCCTAGATTGGGTCTTGCTAAGTTGCCCAGGCTGGCCTAGAACTTGCAATCCTTCTGCCCCAGCCTCCTGTGTTGTTAGGAGTACAGGCGTGCATTGCTGGCTATAGTAATACTTCTTACAATAGGCTGGAGATGTTGCTCAGTGGTACAGTGCTTGCCTAGCATGTGTGAGGCTCTGGGATCAACCTCCAGCACTGCAAAAAAACAAAAATTCAGAATTTTCTCATACATTTCTAAAGGGTTTCAAGAATAGCCCAGAGAACCAGGGAGGCCATGGAGGTATTCCTACGGTAGATGGGTTTGTCAGCATGGAAAGGAGAGGGAGAGACAGGGCTGGACCAGGAGGCCTCCCTCATGTCGACTCCTTGGTACAGGTCTGTGGACGGCCTTCTGAATGCCCGTAAGAGGAATGCCCACGTGCCCCTTTGGAACTATACAGTGCTGCGTGGCCAGGTACAGGACTTCAGGACAGATGCTCCTGATAGCCACTGTGGGCAGCCTGCCTTCCCATGCCAGCTTGCGTATACTCTGCCTTCCTGGGTTGACTCTTTCCCTTTGCGGGAAGCCAGGCTGGCTTTCCATTTTCTCCAGTCCTTACTCTGGGAGTTCTCTCACCCTGTCCAGGGAAGTGTATTGTTTGTGTGGGCTGTGGAGCCCTCTTGAGTGGACGGGTCTTGTCCTCTCCCTCGGGGTCTGCTGCTTGTTGGGTGAGTGAATGTCTTACAGTGGAAGAGTGGATCTGCTCTACCTTGCGTCCTGGACTGAGTTCAGAACTTATTTCTATTGGTGCTAGGGATTGAACCTAGGGATGCTCCACCTCCAAGTTACACCCCCAGTCCTTTTTAATTTTATTTTGAGATGGTCTTGCTAAGTTGCCTAGGCCAGCTGTAACTTGGAATCTTCCTGCCTCAACCTCCCAGATACTTGGGAGTACAGGCCTTACTTTGTTCATGACTAAATAGTCAACAACATTCTTAGGCCTGGCAGCGTAGCTCAGTGGTGGAGGACTTGCCTAGCATGTGCAAGGCTCTGGGTTTAATCACCAGAACTGCAAAAAACCCTGAAAACCAAGGTTCTTTTTTGTTTGAGTGTTGCATGTTGTACATGCAGATCTTCATTGTGTACTTCATTGCTGGTGTGAAGAAACTGGATGCAGACTGGGTGGAAGGCTACTCCATGGAGCACCTGTCTCGGCACTGGCTCTTCAATCCCTTCAAGTGAGTGGCAGTCAGAGTAGAGGCCTTGCTGGAGCCTGGAGCAGAGCAGGCACTCGGCTTCTGTGGTCTGCAGTAATGGGTGTTATTCCCACTGTGCCCAAGTTCACCCCTCTTGACTTCCTTTGTCCACTCATCTCCCTGCTTGACAGAGGAGAGTCAATTATATTAAAAGATTAAGGCCCAGCTGCACCTGGGAGACTTGTGCTACAAGTGCGCAAGAAGGGAAAAGAAATAGACAGGAAAGGGCCAGAACCAGGTGCAGTATGCCTGCCTTTGCCTCAGCTCTCACCAAGATGGACAGCCACTGCTCCTGCTCCAAGCAAACCATTATTACCAACTGTCCCAAACAGGTTCACCTCTGATTTCTCTCCTCTCCCTTCTTCTCGTTTTACTTTATTTTTCCCTCTTCCACTTCCTGAAGTGTTTTTTTATTCATGACATCCACGAGGAATCTCCTGTCCCCACAGTACACGTTTCTCAGGCCTATCTTGTGCTAGGAAATCTGTCCTTGCCTTTTACATAGCGTATGCTGAAAAAAATGGAACACCTGAACCTGTGAAGGAGTTGGAGAACTCTGCTGTAGCATCTTGGGGTGGCTCGGGCCCTTCGGTGGTCTGCCTCACCAGTGAGTGTGTGTCAGCAAGGACAGGGCCGTGAGGCATCTCATGTGTGAGTATTCTGTGATGCGGGTCCCTGTGCCTGCCTACAGATTGGTGTTGTCTGAAGAGCTGACCAGCCTCCTGGTGGTGCACTGGTGTGGGCTGCTGCTGGACCTCTCTGCTGGTTTCCTGCTCTTCTTTGATGCCTCAAGATCCATTGGCCTCTTCTTTGTGTCCTACTTCCACTGCATGAATTCCCAGCTCTTCAGCATTGGTCAGTATCTGTAGCTTGGATGAACAGGAGCCAGAGAGAGAGACTAGGAAGAGGCGTCCTTTGGGAAACAGTGGTGGGACTAGGAGCTGAGCTGAGCCCAGTGCAGTCACTGTGAATTGGGAGTGGATGGGATGAGCATTGGGGCTTTGGGCTCAGTGTGCTGTGTAAGGAGTCTCTGGGAAGAGTAAGCATCCAGTATCCTGTAGCTGAGAACTCTCTTTTCCTTTTTTTTGTGTGTGTGTGCATAGGGGTGTGTGATGCAGGGGTCTAACTCAGGGCCTGTACAAGCTAGGCAGGTGTTCTGCTTAATGCTTGATTTAAGTAGAGCATCTGGGACAGGCTTCCTGAGGGAGGGGTGTGGTTCAGGCCAATCCTGCATCCTTTCTCCCTGCTTTTCTAGGTATGTTCCCTTATGTCATGCTGGCTACCAGTCCTCTCTTCTGCTCCCCTGAGTGGCCTCGGAAGCTGATATCCCACTGCCCCAAAAGGCTCCAGGAGCTGCTGCCTCTCAAGGCAGCCCCTCAGCCCAGTGCTTCCTGCATCTCTAAGAGGAGCCGAGCCAAAGGAGCCCAGAAGCCAGGGCTGCGCCACCAGCTGGGAGCTGCCTTCACTCTGCTCTACCTCCTGGAGCAGCTCTTTCTACCCTATTCCCATTTCCTCACCCAGGTTAGTGGCGTAGTGTGCGTGTAGCAGGAGCTGGGCTTGGAAACTGGCAGAGGTGACATAAATCATAAAGTGGGAAAGAATGAACTGGTTTTGTAGGCCTGTCAGTAGAGGAAGGAACTGGCATGAGACAAGTTGATCTGACCTGACCCCCACTCCCCCCCCCCCCCCGCCCTGCCTTCCTAGGGCTATAACAACTGGACAAATGGGCTGTATGGCTACTCCTGGGACATGATGGTGCACTCCCGCTCCCACCAGCATGTGAAGATCACCTACCGTGATGGCCTTACCGGCGAGCTGGGCTACCTCAACCCTGGGGTGAGGCATCTGACACTAATGACAGTCTGTTCTTCAGAGTCCTCTTGATCTTTGGGGCCTGGTTTGGTTTTACACACATCAAAAAGTAAAACAAATTTGGGTCTCTGCTCTTTCTCAGGAGTCAGATTGAACCTTTTCTTAGGTGGGTAGAGGTAGAATGCCGGCCACTTCTTTATACTGTGACTAGATTTAGGCAAGGTAAGTACCATTAGCCCAGCAATGAAAAGTTCATCCCCAGAGGCGAGTGCTGACCTTTTTCTGGCAGAAAGGGCAGCAGGCTGGGTCTCTTCATGCCGTGGGCAGTGCATGCCTGTCGGGAGGCTGAAGATGTGAGGTGGGACTAATGTGGGGTTTGGGGTCAGGTATTCACACAGAGCCGGCGATGGAAGGATCACGCAGATATGCTGAAGCAGTATGCCACTTGCCTGAGCCGCCTGCTTCCCAAGTACAATGTCACTGAGCCCCAGATCTACTTTGATATATGGGTCTCCATCAATGACCGCTTCCAGCAGAGGTGGGCAAGGGGAGCAGGAAAGGGGAAATTGCACACAGCTCTTTGAAGCAAGGTGAACGGCGGCCTTGTCTTGCCATATGCACATCCTGGTCAGTCTGGTTGTGGGCATTGGTGGTGGCTTCCAGCAAGGGGCACTATCATCCTGGAGAGGAGTGAGCTGCTGGTCCCTTACAGTGCCTTTTCCACAGGTAGCCCCAGCCCCGCCTTCTAGTGCTGCAGACTCTTCCCTCTGCCCTGGGCTGGCAATAGCATGCTGACATCAGCTGTTTCTTCTATCTGGAAACCCTGTCCCCTCTCCCTGGGAGTGATGAAAAGAACAGAAGTAGAAGTGGCAGTGGGTGGGCAGTCATGGCCTCTTTGGAACAAGCTCTTTCTTTCCTAAGGCTTTTTGACCCTCGTGTGGACATCGTTCAGGCCGACTGGTCCCCCTTCCAGCGCACATCTTGGGTGCAGCCACTGTTGATGGACCTGTCTCCCTGGAGAACCAAGCTGCAGGAAATCAAGAGCAGCCTGGACAACCACACAGAGGTGGTCTTCATTGCAGACTTCCCTGGTAAGGAGGCTGCGTGGGGAGGCCTTGCTACTTTCCCTGGTCCTCTGTCAGTGGGAAGGCCCTCCGCAGGGATGAACTGCACCTCTGCTCTGGCAGGGAGTGAGTTCATTCTACTGTGGTGTGTTACCTTGGCAGGGCTGCATCTGGAGAATTTTGTGAGTGAAGACCTGGGCAACACTAGCATCCAGCTGCTGCAGGGGGAGGTGACTGTGGAGTTGGTGGCAGAAGAGAAGAACCAGACTCTTCGGGAGGGAGAAAAAATGCAGGTATTTTGCTGGGATTACCAGTGGCAGACAGTTTAGGTGGGTAGGGTTTATTAGACCAGAAAATGCTTTACAGCAGTGGTGCTGCAGGAATTCAGTAGGGGCGTAAGAGTGGCAGAGTGCACACGGGCAGTCTCTGGCTCTAAGTAGCCTCCTCCAGGATCCCAGAGGTCAGTTACTTTAGACTCCAAAAGAATGAGGAGACAGTGTACCAGGCTGGCTAAGCCGGGTTTTTTCTCCTCCTCAGCTGCCTGCTGGTGAGTACCATAAGGTGCACACGACATCACCTGGCCCTTCCTGCTACATGTACGTTTATGTCAACACTACAGAGCTTGCACTGGAGCAAGACCTGGCTTATCTACAAGAATTAAAGGAAAAGGTGGAAAACGGAAGTGGTGAGTGTATGAAGGGTCAGGTGGATATGACCCCCGGGTTTCAAGAAATCAAGGTCATGAATAAGGATCTAGCCATTAAAGAATGAACTTGGGCTGGGCACAGTGGCACACGCCTGTAATCCCAATGGCTGGGGAAGATAAGGCAGGAGGATCTCAAGTTCAAAGCCAGCCTCAGCAAAAGCAAGGTGCTAAGCAACTCAGTGAGACCCCATCTCTAAATAAAATACAAAATAGGATGGGGATGTGGCTCAATGGTTGAGTGCCCCCGAGTTCAATTCCCGGTACCAAAAAAAAAACTCTCCGTGGTGAAGAGTTCTCAGGGACAGGATCTATCTCAGTGATTCCTCTTTTGTTGTCTTCTGGGTAGAAACGGGGCCTCTACCTCCAGAGCTGCAGCCTCTTTTGGAAGGGGAAGTGAAAGGGGGCCCTGAGCCAACACCTCTGGTTCAGACTTTTCTTAGACGCCAGCAAAGGCTCCAGGAGATCCAACGCCGGCGAAATACCCCTTTACACGAGCGACTCTTTCGCTTCTTGCTGCGAAAACTATACATCTTTCGTCGTAGGTGAGTTCTACCTACCGTTGCAAGCTTGGTGACTTCTCTTTCATGAGGGTAACACTAGACTTCTTAAAGACAGAGGAAGTAGCCTGTGTCTGATGGCCAATGCCCCAATCCTGGTATCTGCCAGGCCATGTAAGGACTGGGACATAAAGGGTCACTGCAGGGAGATTCTCAGATAGCTGGGGGAGAGGGGCTAGGTGTTCCCTAAGGGCTTTGGCTGGAACTGTTTTTGAACAGAAGTTTGGACTGGTTGGCTTTTCTCCTGTTTTTCAGCTTCTTGATGACTCGAATTTCACTTAGAAATCTGTTATTAGGCCGCCCTCCCCTGGAGCAGCTGGCCCAAGAGGTGACTTATGCAAACTGGCGCCCTTTTGAAACAGATGGTGAATCAAGTCCTTCAAACAGGGAGTCTTCAAATTCCAATCCTCCTGAGACAAATCCTGATCCTATGCACTCAGAGTTCTGAGGGCACCCGGATGTTTGATGCAGATATGGGAGCAGCCAGTCACAGACACAGCATCTATGCAATGGTGAACATTTTTAGATTTGTTTTACATTACATAACAGCTTGGAATTAATAAAGATATTTCAATCGAAGATTGAGGAGCCATGAGGAGGTTGAGAATAAAGGGGGATGAGTTAAAACTGACCAGCTCAGGTGGGTATGCTGGTGTATACACCTGTAATCCAGTGCCTCAGGAAGCCAGCCTGAGCAAAGGAGACTCAGTAGACCCTGTCTCTAAATAAATCTGGGGATGGGGCTCAGTGATCAAACGCCCAAGTTCAATCCCCAGTATCTGCCCTCCAAAAACACCCCTGTAATGGTTAATGTTCCTAAGTGCTATTACACATGTACCTATATGTTATACTTAATCTGTAGTATCCCTTATCCCCATACAAACTGAATAAATTTGCCCGAGACATCCAAAACATAAGGGGTAGATTGGTAGTTCCTGATTCATTGTGAGTCAGCCTGAAATGTTAACGTACAAAGTGGTTTTACCTTATTCTGGTTTTTTCCAGTTGCCTAGACAGTGGTTTCCATTAGCTAAGGAAGTTATTGTCCCCCTTCCCCCC